TAAAGGACCATAACTAATCCTGAAATGATTAAGAAAGAAAAAATTATATTTATACACACACACACACACACACACACACACACAGAGTTAGAGAAAAAAGAGAAAAAACTGAGCAAATAATAAAACAAATATAATAAAATGTTAAATAATAGGTGAATCTGGATAAAGTGTATACAAGTGTTCCTTATATTATTGTCTTCTTGAAATTCTTTATAAGTTTATAATTAGTTCTAAATAAAAAGTTAAGAATTATAGATGTATTCAACTAGACTTGCACTATCCAATAATACAGTAGCTGCTAGCTAAATAAGGCTGTTGAACAGCTGAAATATGATTAGTCCAAATTGAGATGTGCTGCTAGTGCAAAAAAGAATGTAAAGTATCTAATTACTAATTTTCATATTGATTTCATGTTAAAATATTTTAGATATACCAGATCAAAGGAAGTATATTTTTAAAATTAATTTCACCTCTTTATTTTTACTTTTTTAAAATGTGGCTACTTGAAACTTTAAACTATATATGTGACTCATCTACATTGGACAGGGCTGAGCTAAACAAAAATCTCCAAAATGAGGAATAACACTATTTTTGTAAACTTCTCTTTTCTTTCTACTCTAAAAATATTTCTCTCTCTACACTCACTTGGTTTTAAGCTACCTAAAGATAGGGATTGTGTCTTATTTACTATTGTGTCCCAGTATCTAGCACATAGCAAGTGTCATAAATATTTGTTTATAGAAAGGCAATATTCAAAAAAAGGAGGGTGGGCAGGAAGAATGTACTCATTCTCATCTCTGAGTCATTGCTTATACCATAACTCCTTCCTAAAAGGAAACTTTTCCTTTCCTAATCACACACCTTCAAAACCCATTTTCACATGCCCATTTTCTCCAAGAAGACTTCCCACTAAAGCAAGTTCATTTCTGACCTTTCTTCCTCTGTATTACTATAGCTTTTGTTCGCTATATCATTTACTTTGGCACTTAATCATATAAGCCCATTGAGTGAGAAGTTATGTCTCAAATTTTTTCCTATACTAGTACCTGCCTTCTACAGTAACTAGCAGAGTGCTAACCATACCAGTTTGAAGTGGGGGAGGGAAAGAGACAAGATGTCAAGAGAAATAAATTGGCAGTTGGAAAAATTTGACTGCTACCTGTTTTCACATCAAACTGTGTTGCTTAGATAAATCACTGAATCTGTTTCTACTTTCTCATTTTTTTAAATCAGAGAGACAGACCTGTTTGACCATAAAAATCTCCTACTTCTACAATTCTACAATAAATTTAAACCATTTTTCTTTTGCAATATTACTGATATAAACTAGTAAAACTACATAGAATACACAAATGTTAAATCACAGTAAGTTAAGAAAGAAAAGCAACAAAGTTTATATAAACTTTAAAAGAAACAACAGAAAAAGTTTATAAACTGCCTAAAGTACTAAATGCTGATCATCTTTCTGGCCACCAAGCACTTTTAATTCACATTTCTCTTCAGAGGACTATTAAGCAAAATAATCAATACACACTTATTGGAACCACCTCAATTTTTTTTTTCCCCAGACCTTTTCAAGCCTCAGAGAGACCCCCTTTAGAAAGAGGAGAAGGAGGAAAGGAATCAGACACTAAGTTTTCTATAAAGTACCCTAGGAACTTATTGGTGATATTTAAAAACTCTGAGTTATAATTAACTATAAATACATTGTTTTTTCTTTCAAAAAAATTTATTTAAAAGGCACTATGAAAAAGGAAATTACAACAATTAAAAGAAAAGTCATCTAAAAACATAATGTTAAAGAAATGTAACCTAATTTCCAAGTTTAGATACTATTTCAAATAATCTCTAAGTCAGCAACTTTACTTTTAAATCTTATATCTTAATATCTCTGCTGAAAAGTAAGGTTATCAGATTGGGATAAGATAAAATAGTTACTAAATTATGTAATTTAAAGATTTCAGCCCAACTGGCATGGTTCAGTGGTTGAGCCAAAAGGTCACTGTTTGATTTCCCATCAGGGTACATGCCTGGGTTGTGGCTCTATCCCCAGTGGGGGCATGCAAGAGACAGCCAATCAGTGATTCTCATCATTGATATTTCCATCTCTCTCTCTTTTCCTTTCTGAAATCAATAAAACAAATAAATAAATATAAAGATTTCAGTTATACTTGTTAATATTACCTGTGGAGTTACTAAAATATATATAGTCTAGATTCTAAACTATTAATAAAATCATAGGATTTCTTTAAGACTTTTATCAAAATGCCCCTATTAAATGCTGGGCATTAACACTGACCCATCTATAAGATAACAGCTAAACTTCAGCAGGCACTCAAGGACTCTCCTAACCTGGTCTGTAGCTACATCTTCCACCAATCCCTGGGCATCATTTCACTTCCTAAACTTAATTGTTCATGTTCCCCCTAATATTACCCACCCTTTTATGACTCTATGTCTTGCATATGTTGAACACTATGCTCCATATGCCCTTCTCTTTTGAGCTTCGAATATGCCTTCCTTCTTGAAGTTTTTCATGACTGCCCAACATGTTCCTACAAAGTAGCTCCCAGGACACTCTTCATTCTTCTATTACATTAATCACTACTTTTAAATGTCCACTTCCACAAGCAGGCTGTGAGTTCTAACTGGAGGCCCATGTCTTATTTAACTGGTTCCCCGCCCCTTGCTTATCACTGGTATTATCACCTCAATATAAATACTCTGGGGTGAGGGGGGGGGGTTAATTAATGTGAGAAACTATTCAAACTTTTCTATAAAAGAGTATGTACATTTAATACAGTATTTCTCAACAGGGGCAATTTAGCCCCTAAAGGATATTTGGTAAAGTCTTAGAGGTATTTTTAGTTGTCACATAAGGGGAGGAGGATTTGGGGGGTGCTACTGGCATTTAGTGGGTAGAAGCCAGGGACAGGGATGCTGCTAAACATCTTACAATGTAAAGGACAGCCCCCCAAAACAAAAACAACAACAACAACAAAAAAATCAATAGTGCCATGGTCAAGAAACTCAATTGTCAACTAACTTATTCATATGTGATAATTCCATACCACATCTCAGCAATAACCAGAATAAATTCCAATTTTGTAGTTTCAACTGAAATGTATGCAACAGTTAATGTGTATGTACCAACCCTAAAAATTATTTTTATATAACTGTAATGCTTAACAACATTAAGAGTCCTGGAAAGCATCCCATCTTTCTGAAAACTAAACTTTATTTTTTTAATATATTTTTATTGATTTCAGAGAGGAAGGGAGAGGGAGAGATAGAAATATCAATGATGAGAGAGAACCACTGGTCGGCTTCCTCCTGCATGCCCCACAATGGGGATCGAGCCCGGAACCAGGGTAGGTGCCCTTGGCCTGAATTAAGCCTGGGACCCTTCAAACCTGGGACCCTTCAGTCCATAGGCCAATGCTCTACCCATCGAGCCAAACAGGCTAGGACAGAAAACTAAACTTTAAAAGAAACCACAGGAAAACTAATTTTTGGTTCTGGAACTACGACAAAAAAAATCTAAGGCATGAGGTAATTCATTCCTCTGGGTTTGATAAAAGGAAAATCATTAAGTACTACAAGTAAATCATGCACAGATGTCTTTACTGTTAAACACAAAAACCTATGACAAGAGCAAATGGCATACCCTTACTATTGCCTAAACCACCAGTTTACTAAGATTTAAAAAAAAAAAAAAAAAATCTCTGACAAAGCCAATGCAAAAAAATCATCAAATGTCAATAAAGGGTGGCAGATAAGAAGTTAACTATTTCTACCCCTGATATATGACCAAGTTTCACATGACTTGAACATGTCACAAAAGCTAACAAGAGCACTCCTTTTGCATATAGCGGTTGACTCAACTGTCTTTGGCACATTGGATGACTATCACAAATTCACTAATTTCTTCTGTCTTTTGAATTAGTTATCCTACTCACATAATAACCGACAAATGGGTTTAGCGCCAACTATAGTCATTTACATTTTGCTGCAACCTATTAGTCTCCAAAAGCCATCCAAAACAAACAAAAATTTAGTAAACTAAATAGATTAGGAAAACAGAGTTTATGTTATTATAGGAATTGAGTGCTAAACAATATACCTACAGCTTTCCTATGCTCTAATCTTTACATCTTAAGGTTTTTTTTTTTCTCCAGATTTTAAATACAGATAACACTGGTAGAAAGTGAAGGGGTAAATGTATACCACTGGATCAAGCTTACTTGCGGATTTATTCCTGGATAGCTCAAAAAAAGGGACTGGCTGGGAGAGGAAAATGCATTTTTAATTGGGAAGAAAAAAAAAAAAAAGTTTCCAACAGTGAGTAATGTCTTCTTTCTCAGCTGACTCTGCCAGTCAATGTGGGTACCGAGACTGGGCCCGTCGCTAGGCCGGTTTCGCCACATGACCCTCCTACAGGGTCCAGACGCGAAACCGAAGCCCGGTGCGGCAGGTGGGTGGGGTGTAAAGTTGGGGGACCCCGTGGGCGCGGAGAGTGGGGTCAGCGCTAAGCGCTAAGCGAGCCTCCGCGACCTCGCGCGCCGGGGGCGACCTCCGGGTGGCGGCCGGGCGGCCACAGGCACGAACTCTGTCCGCGCGGCAGCCAGTCCGGGAGCGGGAGGACCGCGGCACCACACCCGCCGCCCGCCCGCCGCCCGCCGCCCCGCGCACTGACAGCCCCGCTCCGAGCGGGGCGCCCGGGCCTGGGCGCGCGGGGCGGCGGAGGACCGGGCTCCAGACCCCGGGCTCCGGCCTGCCGCCCCGCCGCCGCCCCGGACGCCCTCCCTGCCCCCAAGGCCTGATCCCGGGCGGACGGCCGCGGCCTAATCGCCTCCCGGGCGGCAGGGCCTAGAGGAGGCGGGAGCCCGCCGCCTGCTCGGCTGCTCGGCTGCTCAGCGCGGCGGCGGCGGCGGCGCCCGCAGTCCCGGGCTCGGCGCCTCCCGCTCACGTGCTCCGGGAAGACGGCGTCCCGCTCTTACCCTCTGCAAGATCCTCCTTAACATGGTTCAGGCCCCCCGGCGCGCCGCGGCGGCTCTCCGGACCCACGCCGGGCCCCTGACTGCTCGAGGGCTCGCGCGAGGAAGGAGCTCAGCGTGAAGGGGACCAAGGAGGAGGAGGTCGGGACGCGGCGGCGGCGGCGGCCCCTGGGGCGGCCCGGACTTCCCACCGGCGGCGAGAGGGAGCGCGCGCGAGCGAGCGACGAGGGAGCCGGCGAGCGTCCGCCCGCCCGCCGGGCCGCCCCCGTAAACTGACAGCTGGGCGGTCCTCCCGGCGACGCCCCGCCCTCCCGGCCTGGCCATCCGCGGGGGGCGAGGCTGGAGGCGGCCTGGCCAGGCCTCGAACCAATCGGAAGCGGTGTGGCGTGAGCAGCTGCGTGACGGACAGGTGGCAGGATCCGGGCCGCCGCTCCTTCCGGTGGTCGGGAAAAACGGAGGTGGCTGAGCGCTCAGTCGGAGGCCGCGCCCGCGCTCCCACCTTTGCCCGCGGAGGGGCGGGAGGGCGGATGGGGACCCCGGGGGCTCGGTATGGGGTCCCTGGCCGTGACCGGAGAAGGAGGTTCCGGGATGGGCACCCTGCCCGTTCTGTAAAATGTGTCATGTGACCCTGGCCTAGAGGAGAAGGGACTGGATTCTTATTTCTGCTGGAAGCGCCTGGGTGGGAGCAATGGAGAGGATCTGGAGAGAATCGCTGTGGGACTTGGGTGCCCTGGACAGACTCTTGGTGTCTTATCCCTTCCTGCTTCTGAAAGTAAAGAATCAGGGAAAGGGTAGGAAGACACTGGAATTGTAGTTAGCAGAGAGAAGTTTGAGTGTTTTCTTTCTTGAGGGGGAGGGAGGAGTATGGCAACATTATTTAATGGACTGATTTCGCTAGCATGTCTTTCTAAAGCCCGTGTTTAGCCCGTTCTGAGAAAGAATAAACCCTATTCTGATTATAGATATAATGAAGGGAATCGGCATTAATGTGCCTGTTTTATAGATTAAGAAAAAATAATGAGGTCACAGATAAACAACGTGTCAAAACGAGGACTTGGACTTCAGACTGGGATGATGTCATTATTTAAAGTAAAAAAAAAAAAAAATCACAGCTTCAGAGTCCTACCATTCTGCTAGTATTCACAACCTAAGAGGTTTGATTTTTATATTGAACTGGAGGGAATAATGTAATTTATCTGGGAGAGGAAGTGGGCTGTTTGAAATCTACAAAGCAATGAATAGAGTGCTTATTGGAAAGTATAGACTTTAGAAAAGATGCAACAAATATTACTCTCAAATGAGTTAATGTAACATGTAAAGTGTAAAATATTATATGATGTAACATGTCGTTTCTATCCCAAATGTTCTATTTTTGTGTGCCTATAGTGTAGCAAAAGAGTCATTAGTCACTCCAACTAATATATTATTAATCAGTATTGATAATAGAACACTTAAGTACTTCCAGACGAACAGAGCAAAATGCACACTTTTCCATCTTTCCAGACACAGGTGCATTGTTTTCATACAAGATGGGAAATATTTTCACCGACTAAGATGATAAAACTGTGTGATATGATAAATGTAAATTTGGTGTCTGCCCCAAGTTCATGATACAGAGCTTCTAAAACCTTTGTAATTTCCTCATTGTTAGGGTGCCAGGAGCATCTTTCATTCTAATATTTGACCTTTGACCCTGGTTACTGACACCAGAGCTTCTAGGATCCTTGAAATCCTCAGAGTAATAAGTATCTTTTTTAATGCTAATGAGTTAAACATGGGATTGGGGTTGATCACCAGAAAGATCTAGGCATGATTAGAAGGTATAAACTTTCAGCCTTGTTGGCATGGCTCAGTGGTTGAGCTTCGACCTATGAACCAGGAGGTCAGGGTTTGATTCCCAGCCAGGGCACATACCCAGGTTACCGGCTTGCCCCCCAGTGTGGGGTGTACAGTAGGCAGCCTATCGATTATTCTGTCTCATCATTGATATTTATATCTGTCTCCCTTCCTCTCTGAAATCAATAAAAATATATATTTTTTAAAAGGTTAAATTTTCGGCCGGGACTGGTTTGGCTCAATGGATAGAGTGTCGGCTTGGGGACTGAAGGGCCCCCGGGTTCGATTTCGGTCAAGGGCATGTACCTTGGTTGCGGGCATATCCCCAGTAGGGGGTGTGCAAGAGGCAGCTGATCGATGACTCTCTCTCATTGATGTTTCGAACTCTCTATCTCTCTCCCTTCCACTCTGTACAAAAATCAATAAAATATATTTTAAAAAAAAAAAAAAAAGGTTAAACTTTCAGACCCACCCCCTCCACTTACAGAAGGAAAGTGTGTCTGGAAGAATTCATTACCAATAGGCAATAAATTATTCCTATGTAATAGAACTTCCATTAAAAAAAAAAAAAAAAAAAAAAGCTGAACAATGAGGTTTGGCGAACTTCCAGGTTGGTGGACTCATCAAGCTCCTGAGAGAATGATGTGCCTGGAGAGAAAAGAGAAGCTCTGAGCACCTTGCTTCATAACTTGCCCTATGCATTTCTTCTATTTAAGCTGTCCTGGAGTTGTATCCTTTATAGTAAACTAGTAATAGTAAGTGAAGTATTTCTTTGAGTTCTTTTGAGCTGTTATAAAAAGTTATTGAACCCAAGGATGTTGTTGTGGAAACCCCCAAATTATAGCCAGTTGGTAAGAGAAAAGGTGACAACTTAGGACTTTTGACTGGTGTCTGAAGTGGAGGGAGTTCTTGTGGGACTGAGCCCTTAGTCTGTGGAGTCTGTGCTAACTCTGCATAGATGGTGCCAGGATTGAACTGAATTGTAGGACACCCAGTTGGTGTCCAGAAAATTGGAGAATTGCTTGGTGTGGAATAAAACCCCATACATTTGGTGTCAAAGGTATTGTAAATAGAGAAAGAAAACACTTTTTTTTATTGAAAATATTTATTTCTCTTTTTTTTTTCCTCCAAAATTAATTTTATTTAAATCTACTTATAATGTCACAAGGTAAGACCATCTTTACTGGAATTTTACTGGAATTCTCCTTTGGAATCTTCTAATAAATAGACTCATCTTAGCAACTGGGCTATTAAAAAATCTGTGTGATCTCCTGTGTTAATGTAAGAAACACCACAACCTGTAAAGAATTTTTGTGAGTTTGAGTCAAACTGTTGAAAATTGCCAGGAAGCAGAATCTCAATATATTGAGATAAAGCTCTGGAGAATGATGATTTTTTTCACCTTGATTTATACATTACAATTAAAAGAGGAGATGTAAGTGGATTACATGAATTTCATTGCAGATAGATTAGGGAGGAAGAAGAAAGCAATGTGGGGAAACTTCTGGGATTGAATAAAAAGTAAAATGATAGCTGCATTTTTTACACAGGTGGATATAGGATAGTTAACAGTCAACAGTTAATGAGATAACAATAACAATGAGGGAATTTGTGGTCTCTGCCCTGGCACCCTGCACATTGGCTGTGTCCTTGGTGTCTGGGAAAATAGAAGTTGCAAGTTACCCTGATATTCTAAAGGTATGTTATCTTAAATGCAAAAAGAAATAAGTTCAGTGAAGATGAAGTTGATCTTTTTCAGGAAAAATACTGGCCTAAGACCTGGCTACCCACTATACTAGTAAACTGCTTTTCAGTTAAAAGATTTTAATTTCAGACCACATCCTTCATGGTTACTTTAGGTCTCTTAGTTTGCAAGGCTGCCACACAGGCCTTCCCTGAGTTAGGTTAGCTTGTGGCCCCTTTCCGTCCACAGCTGCAATTTATGATAACTCCATTACTGGAATAATAAGCTAGAGATCTTGATTATGGCAAAAGAAAATAAGCAGGGGATGTAAAAATACCCTTCACTAATCTAGCAGCTTCCCACATATAGCAGGTCTTTTACCCTATCTGGCCATTAAATCCTATTTTTCAGCTCTCTTATACCAATACTAGAGGCCTGGTGCACAAAATTCATGCATGGGGGTGATGGCTGGGGGAAGGGGGGTGGAAGAAAGGGCAGGAAGGGGGTCCCCTCAGCCCAGCCTGCACCCTCTCCAATCTAAGAACCCTAGGGGGATTTCTGACTGCTGGTTTAGGCCCCATCCCCTGTGGTGGATGGGACCTAAACCAGCAGTTGGACATCCTTCTTGCAATCCAGGTCTACTGGTTCCAAACCACTCACCAGTCTGCCAGCCTGTTCACCCCTAACTGCCTCCCCCTGCCAGCTTGGTGGCCCCCAACTGCCCTCCCTCCACATGTCAGCCTGGTCACCCCTAACTGCCCCCCCACCGGCCTGATTGCCCCTTACTGACCCCTACCAGCCTGGTTGTCCCCAACTGCCCCCCCCCTGCTGGAATGGTCGCCCCCAACTTACACACATACACCAGCCTGATCACCCCTAACTGCACTCCTGCTGGCCTTCACCCCAACTGCCCCCCTCTGCTGGCCTGGTTGTCCCTAACTGACCCCCCCAACCAACCTGATCGCCCCTTACTGCCCCCTGTATGGTCTTAATCGCCCCCAACTGCCCTTCTCTCCTGGCCTAGTTGCCTCATGCAGTCTGCTGTTCAGTCATCCATCTGGTCGTTTCTGTTGTGACAGCACTTGCCTTTTTAGATATTAGGATTCCATCAGTTCTTTGACTTCACCAAGATCTTCAGTCCTTGTGCTCCTCTTACTTTCTTACTATCACACATTTTCCTAGGGTCCTCATTTACATCAAAATCTAGTTTTGTATGATCCAACTTTATAATCCATCCACTTTTGTAAATATATATAACTTCTTCACCTCTCTCTTCCTCTGTTGTTTTCATCTAGCAGAAGCCAAACCCAACTATATCACCAGAGATGCACATGTACAACTGGAGCAGTTGGGCTCATTTTACATTACTTGTATAGCCACAGACCTCAGGAAGGAACTCAGCACAGTCTAGCAGCAGTCCTGTTTCACTCTCCTCCTGCCTTCTTTCTCTAGATCACCAAAATGGCTCTCACAGTTATAGTTGTTTCACTTTTACCTTACATTTTAC